GGGCCTTTAAAAGGTAGTCTAACTGGATGTCTTTTGGTCACACAGAATGTCTTTTGCCCCTGAAAAGGGACTGGAAAGGCCTTGGAGCCTTGTGTTCTCCCTCCCTCTCTCCCTCCCTCCCTCCCGCCCGCCATCCATCCTTCCTGGCCACCATGAGGAGTATCAGCCCCATGTTCCCCTTACCACAATGAGCTAACCCTGCACAGAACAGAGCAGCAGTGACACCTGCCTATGGACTGGGGACCTCTGCAACTCTCAGCCCCCAAGAAACTTTTCCCCTCCTAAAGTGATTCTCAGGCAATGTGTGATCCTGGGTGGGGGTGGGGAACCTCACTGAGGGCTCCTTTATGTTTAGATGAAGTTCTAAGGACTTTGAAGAAATAAATCCAGCCACCTGTCCTAACTCCAGGGAAAACCCCAGTATCATCCCAAGCCATGTTACCGTCTGTTAGCACTTTTGTCCCTGTCACTTGGCTCAGGCTACACCAATTCCCAGCCCCACTGCAGAGACGCCACAGGAAAGTTAGTTTGCTACTCTGACCCTCTGTCTCCTCTCTGAAAACATGAAAATATAAAGGTTCTAAAAGGACAGGCATACATGCACATGCTATGTGGAGCTTATCTGGCCTGTGATCAGGATACCCTTTGCTTGCTGAGGGATGGACACCCACTGGTGACTGTTGCTAAGTGTGGCATAGGCTCTCAGGCATGGCGATAGGAGAGCCTCGGCTGCCTGGACTCCACCAGTTCCTGGGTCTGCCTGATCCCTGGCTACATATCTCTGATTTGCTGTTAGTGAGAACACAGGATCAATTAGCAGCGTGAACAATTAAGATATGCAAGTGTGCCTTTAATCCCAGCACTTGGGAGGCAGAGGCAGGCGGATTTCTGAGTTCGAGAGTTAGTTCTGTAGTTCGAGGCTAGCCTGGTCTACAGAGTGAGTCCCAGGACAGCCAAGGCTACACAGAGAAATCCTGTCTCAAAAAAAACAAAAGAAAAAAAAAGATATGCAAGGGCATGGGCACCTCCTCCCCAGAAGCCCCGTTAAAATGCATCAGTAATTAAGCACGCCTTTAATAGCTACATTTCTGGCCACCAGACATGTCTCTGGATAGGCCTCAGGTTACAGCATGCATTGATATCTGTGCTATGGATTTCTGTACTGGTGATGAGGCTGACAACCCCACCCTGACTGTAATGCTCACACGGGAGAGTGAAGCGAAGCTAGGGGATTCTTGATGTCTGACCACTGAGATGACATCTCCCCAGCTGAGACTACACCCTATACAAGCCCTCCTCATATTCCTCCTTGAGATAAGGCCTGATCCTCCCTCTCAGGCCTACATCAGGCTGACCCTGCTACAGAAGAAAAAAGCAGGGGTTAGCTGTGTGCATGCAAAACACCTTTGATATCCAAGTGGTCAGAACATCATTGATTCTTCAAAGGCCAAGAAAGAATCACAGTGAACCAAGAGATCAGGGATTGATGTAATAGAAAAGCTGTGATGTCAGCACTTGGGCGCAGGGTGAAGGCAGGAGGATCAGAAGTTCTAAGCCATCCTTGGCTCCATAGCAAGTTCTAGGCCAGCCTGGGACACATGCATGCCGTATTGTCTCAAAAAATAATAAGGTGCTTGTTGGCCTCCAGCAGTACATGTAAGTTCTGATACCAGGATACAGTAGAGCGAGCATGGGTACATGAGTACATGGAGAACATGAGGACATGGGTACATGGAGAACATGGATTCTGCACGAAGCACAACCAGAGGATGGTGAGACCACTACCCAGGCTTCTGATTTGTCCAGAAGCACATGGAGTCTAGTCTTTAAGTGCAGTCCCTCCCTCTTTCTTTCAAATGGAGCAACTCATTCAAACATTTAAAAGTCTTTGTGTGTTTGTGTGTGTGTGTGTGTGTGTGTGTGAGAGAGAGAGAGAGAGAGAGAGAGAGAGAGAGAGAGAGATGGATACATACTAGAAGACCTCAGGTGTTGGTTGTCACCATCCACCTCATGCCAGAGTGCATCAGAGCATCCTCCCACCTCCACCTCCTATCACTCTGTGGGCGTGCTTCGGGTATGGATGTTTGTCCCGTTTTACATGGGATCTGGAGATCCAAAGCCAGGGCTTTACTCTTGCTTAGCAATTACTCGACCTCTCTCCTTAAAAATTTTTACACAAGACAAGGGATCCTCTCTGCCTTGTCCCCTGTCCCTCCTCTACTCATGACCATGAGTCATGAGGCCCTGTCTTCCAGGTGCCTGCTCAGAGCTCTGCTTTTGGAGTGTTCTAAGGCTTGTGCCTGCAAGGCACCTCTCCTGCTTAGAAGTAGAAATTTTACCAAGAAAGTGACTTAGGGATTCCAAAGTCGGGTGCAACATCCACATGGCACAAGACACTGCACAAGCCTGAGCTTGTGGGGTGTCTGGCAAAGAGGGGTGCACCCATGAGGGAATACAGAAGATGGGGTCAGTCAGTATTCAGCCTTTGTACTCTCTATGGTTTCTTCTGCTTGCCATGGCTAGCACACTTGACTTGTGTGCATCTAGGCTGTCTGAGCCTTTATTTAGCAGGTCTGTAGAGGTGTGTGGGTGGTGCCCATTTACCTCATTATTTATTTATTGAACTAAATCACTCGAACAGTTCTTGCACAGTGGAGTGTAATCTGATTTGGTTTTCAACATGCTTTTAAAGTAAAGAAATAAATACAGAGGAAGCTTGTTAAACATGACCACCAGGGAATAGGCCTTGGCCCCATTACAGGGCGGGGCGATGGGTTTTTAACTGTTCTCAGGCATTTAAGTCAAAAGGGAAAAAGGGAGAGGGGCTCACCTCGGAGTCCAGGCAGCACCAAGCCCTTCCCGAAGCCATTTAACCTCCATTTACAAAGAAATAAAGGGAAATTGATGCTGATCAGGCCAGCTGGGGGATATTTCTGATCCGTAAAAGCCCTCTGCCTGCAATTTGTGGAGTGGCCCTGTCACATGGGAAGGGCCTCACTGATAAAGATGGAGCTTTATGGCCCAATACGCACAGCTAACAGCAACCTAATGCCACATTTTCATTTCTGTGCAATTAATGTTAATGTCGACCACGAAATTGTCATTAAATACCATTTTAAAATCCATTCAATTTGCATATGCAAAGCTCATTTACCATCATGGGAGATGCAGCCGGCACTTCATCACGTCCTTACCCTGGAATTGGGACCACTCCATTTTACAGCAATTTAAGATTTTTATATTGAGAGCTGATGGTAATGCATGCCCTTTTTGAGCCTAGCTGACTCAAAGGATGGAAAGCTGAAGCCTCCCAGGGACCAGAGGTTTTGGTGGGGGTGTATCATACCAACATTAGGAAGAAGAGAGAATCTAAGGATGAGCTTCAGATAAGGAGCCTGCCCACCTGACTGTACACCTGGCTCCATCAGCTCACAGCAATGATGTGGTGACTTGGGGCACTCTCAGTACCTCTCTGAACTTTCTTCTCTCTCTCTCTCTCTCTCTCTCTCTCTCTCTCTCTCTCTCTCTCTCTCT